AAGAATGATATTGAAAGCTGGACGCTGATTTCGAAAAAAACGTAGATGCTCATTATTGTTAATGTGCAGCTGCGTTTTGTCTCAACAATTCAACGGTATATTCACTTTTATTTGTACAATAAACAGTAAAGTGGCGAACAACGAAGTGTAATACAGCATAAATTGGTCGAGGTGTTTTGTCTTTGTGTCATGAATGCGTCAAATTGTGTTACATTTTACCGTAGCAATACAAAGCAGCAGGCATGCTGGACGTGGCGAGCAAAAATCATTTTACGTCAAAGTGTATGGTGAAAAAGAGGAAATAAAAAGAAATCCCATCTACACGCCGTAATAAGCATTAACAAAATCGCCTAATTACTTTTTCCACCCTCTTAATTTAATTACCCAAAACATCAACCGTCTCCAACCAACTCGTTGTATTCCCATTGACACAACACCGAAAACATGCCAACAATTTATTAGCAACTGCATGTGGCCAACCGGCTTTCAAGAACTGAGAACTAGTTTTTTTGTTCACCCAAAATGATGCTACCTTTGAAAAATGACGATGTCGAATGGAAAAAGAAGCAACTGTACTTGAAAATTCGCTAACCGTTGAAAAGAAGCCACGAAAAACCACATTCGCACGCATTAATGAAATAATTTACTTGGTACATTTCCGTCATCATTTTTTTCCACCTCTCTGTCGCTCTTCCTTTCTAATCGAATAATTTTGATTCTCATTGAAGGAAGGCAGCTGATATCCTACCGTCATTCACGTGAAAATAGATAATTCATTATCATCGACACAAATTGCCAATGTTGCTGTATAAAATAATTTTCTCATGCAGTGCACGGCAAGTTGAAATTCGAATAAGACTCTCTCGCTCAATCTTTAGTCGTTCATGCAGTCCAGAGAAAAACAATATTGTTCTGGCCCGGAAATAAGATGATAAAAACAAAAAGTGATACTATTAATAAACGGATGCGAAAACAGGGGATCGAAGCAGCTGAAAATAACTGACAATTTAGTTTCTGTATTTTTTTTTCACCGTTCATGTTCAATTCTCATTGGAAAGATGGACATCAAATTGTGTGAAGTGGTTGATCATCGTTTCCCTGCACTTAAAATCGAAAACCCCACGAAACACACTGACACGCAATTACAGCATCACCGTGTTATACCTATTGTATTGCATTGCATGCACAAAACTATGTTAATAACAAAGTTGAATTGTAACTGCGACTATGAATTAGGTAGCATCATATTTAAATGTTCGTCGATTTGCACCCGACATTTGAAGCGTTCACCCCCGCCCGCGAACATCTCGAATATGTATTGAAGCACAAGTCGAATGTATTTTACGCACAGCACGAAAATCGCACAACAGCAACATCGCGCGCTGACTCGTGATATGCCAGTGCATATCAAATTGTATTATGGGAACCGCATCACATGCTTCCACACTGTAATTCGTTTGTTCGAAAATAAAAATTGCTTTATGAACTGTACGGTGTTTTCGGGAGTTTTACATTTTTTTTCTCTCTCTCTCTGTCTTTTTTTTGTTTTGCTTCCCTTCGTTTCGCGTGGTAAAAGTGAATCTCACCTATGCTATTCGAAATAACGCGATCAAATATCATCATATTTTCAGTTGTTTTTGTTGCCCTATTTTTATTCACATTTTTGTTTCATTTTTGTTCGTTTTGTTTTATATAGACTTTCGTCATGCGCGCCCTTTTTTTCTTGGTCTCTGTTATTTCGTGTTTACATCCTTTTCAGTTTCAGTGCGTGTATCTCTCATCGCAATTTCAAATGCCATTTAGAAAACACATTTTTTTTTTTTGATGATTTAGAACTTTTATGACCAAAAACATTTTCAAATAAAATTAACACACACACATACATTACCGTAATATGCAATGCATATAAATTATAATGAGAGAGCCGTTGGCAGATTAAATTATGGAAAATATGAATGATTCTATTCCACTTTATTTGCCATTACGGATATCTTTTGTGTTAAAATTATCGCCGGGGATTCTTTCAATTCATTTAACATGATGAATCTGTTTTAGATTCAGCGTGAAAGTAATATCATATGGTTTGATATTTTATTCAATATATCCATGGATTATATAAAATAAATCGTTGATCTTGCCCGGTTTTGCTCTCAATTCATTCAATTCGAAGCCATGTAATGATAGTGCCTATGAAATATCTCCCCAGGAAGATATTTACATTGAAAAGTTTGAATTGGATTTTATAAAGTTTTTAAACAAGAAAATAAAAAGTCATCAAATTAATCGTTGGATAATTTTGCAAATAAAAACTATTCTTCAGTAATAATAAATATGTTTGCAATCCATTTCTCTTTCCATCTTCGCGATACATCTGTACAAAATCAATATTTACCACAATATAATATTGCTCGATTAATATGTTTCGATCGCGCAATCGTTTATCATATTTTGCATCGTTAAGATGCTGACGGTTTCGTAGAAAACATTTAAACATATTGTTCCCGCTAAAAGGAGATATATTGAGAATATAAGAAAAGATGTAAGAAAAATGTCAAACCCGAAAAACGAGAAAAGTTGCTGCACAAATTCTGGTGGTGCAAAAGGTGTGTCTAAAATCGTAAAAATGTTTGAATCATTGACGTTAAACCGCGCCCATATACGGAACCCGACTTACTGGTACCCGACTACGTTGACTGGTTAATATAAACCACAAATGTGACACACTTTGCTCTTTCTCGCACTCTTACACAGAATCATCTGCAGACACTCTCACATACATACACAGTGTGAACTGGGAAATGGATAAGGATAAAGTATACTGATGCAAAGAAGTAAGAAAATGTTCTGACTGACTTCGGTACTTAGCACGCGCGCACGTGCCATTTTGTTTCACCGATTTTTTTTCTCCACATCTTATATAGAACGATTTCTCGACAAGGCAAAATATCGCTAAGGCAATTAAAAGTTGGAGTAGAGCGTACACTTTTGACAATGTAATCTCCATTACATGAAATCATCAAATTAGCAATTCAAGTCATTGGCTAAATCTTTAGGGTTTTTTTTTCTTCCTAGCTAATCTTTCAGGCCTGGAAATTAGTAAAGAGCAGAGAAAGTGAGAGTTTGGTGTATTTCGTAAAAGAAATAATTCAACCGAAAAGAAGAAATCTACTCCAGTACATTTCTTTGTTAGTTTTTGTTTGTTAGAAAAAACGGTAGAACAGTTTAAAGAAAATTTCTCAACCGTTCAGAAAAAACGCACAAGAAAACATGCCCAAGTTTTGTGGATCAAAAACCATTGATTTGAACGTATCAATAAATCGAACAGAAATTCAACCACTGTATGAAAACTCTGTAGTAAAACGGTCGGCTTACAACACTTTGGTTTGCTCTTCAGTCACTGGACAAATGCGAATAAAAATGTAACTTTTTCACAAAACAATACTGTTGCTTGCTACTTCCGCTGCCACCGCCTCTCTTAAATACAGATGTTCTCTCATTCTCACTGGTCGAATTGCCAAATTCGCATATCGGCATTCGAATTATGTATCATGTTGACATTCACCAAAAAGTTCAGCTAATATTTATATCAAATGAGAGTGGATAGTAGGGGGTGTTCAGCTTCTCGAAGCCTCAGCCATACGTATTGTAAATAACTCATACCAATTTATTACATAGCTTATACGAAATGCCAACCCGCACACAAACATCGCACTTAATGCAATTCAATTTGTACATAGCGCAAATGTTACACAGTCAAAAAATCGTCTATTATTCGGCCGGAATAACGGATAACCTGCCACGATGACTACAACGGTGGGAGAGAAAGAGCGAACACATCACCATCCATGAAAATAATCAGCAGAAGCATCGCTCACACTCGCTTATATATATATATATACAGATCCAATTGCCGTTGCTGTTGCTGCTGCAAACATCAACATATCAGCCGAAAAACCACGCCTTCTTTCCCTCGAAAAGACGAGATGTCAGCAACTTGGTGGCTGATGGTTATAAAACGTATACAAATATGCGTATTGATAGACATATGCACACGGGATGCTTGTGAATCGATCGCGGGCTCTCTTTCTTTCTCCCTCTTTCTCGCCTCTCTATGTGCGTTGTTATTTGCAGATGTGGCAGTCGCATCACCATTATTACGGTATACTAGTGCATTAGTCTATATATACATGGGAACAATGTTCATTGCCACTACCATTGAATATTTTGATTGTTTGACGCACAGCCAAAACGGGTAGAACGAATATAACAAAAAGTTATAACATTTTCCATGTAGAAATGCTCTTGCCACTTGGCAATACACACAATATGTGCGTTTTTATATAGTCACAAACAGTTGATGCTCGAACGATGGAAAACTCCCGTTTGCTCGCTCTTTAACTCTCACTTTCTCGCTCTATCTACATTTACAACACAACCTCTGTTTTTTTCCTCTCGAAATTGTGCATTCGTATTTGTTGATCTGTGTATGGGACGAGCGTTTATATATGTTACGTATATAATGCTTGAGAACATTACCGTGTCCTGAAGTCAAAGAGTTGGTACTTCGTAGCTGGCGGAAAGCTTGTAAAAGTCTCTGAGTCGTCAATTAGCTGCTAATCGGCAAAGTTAAATGATCACAGTCGCTCCGTTATTTATTCAAAGTCGAGATCGCTTCTGGTGTGATTCAAATAATTTACAGTTGCTATTATCATACAGTTAGTGTTCTGTGTTGTACTGTGCATTTTAATTTTGGCAAAACATTTTTTGATTTAATAAAATTTTCTTGTGAAAAAAAAGAATCAATTTTGCGTTAAAAATATATTGAAGTTTAAAGTGACAAAATTTATTGTGAAAAATAGAAAATAAAATATATCGACGGAAGTTTTGCAGTTTACAATTTTACTATCGTGACGGAAAATTAATTTTCTTTCTAAAAATAAAAATTGAATTTATCATCGAATCTTTTATATGAATTAATACTTATTCCCAAATTCTGTGTGTTCACTGAAAACGTATAAATTGATTTGAATCGTACAAAGTGGCAGCTATTAATTTACGACACTTCAGAAACAGAATGGGCACAGGTAAAAACATTTTTATAATTCATTTCCAATTTTATCTTCAGGCAAAAAGAAAATTCAAATCCAAAGGAAAATCCTAAGCAAAAAGTGAAGTATACCAGCATTTGATGTGGAAATACTTGAGAAACGAGTTCATATTATAATGTCCTTAAAAGTCGTGTGCAACATTTTATTTATAATTTTTTTCTCAAATCACTTTGTCTTCTTGAAGAAAACACTAAATAAAAAGTCCTCGGTTCTTCAAAGTAAAAATGAACAAGATTATTTTTTGTACTCAATTTGAAAAAAAAAAAAAAAACGAAAAACTTTAAAGTACCACCATAATTTGCGAAAGTCCACTCAAGATTGCAAAAGTGCCAGAGAGAGAGAGAGAGTAAAATGTGGTGCTGTTTCAGTTGAAAAGGTGAATTTTGACATTAAATTGACGTGTTTGAAATGGTGGAAACACTTGAGCCAAAGGAAGAAAAGAAAAATGCAAGGGAATAATGCGCACGATTGAGAACAATATGTAACACATTTTCAAGTGGATCAACTAATAATCGCATATACAAATTGTACAAATGAATTCTTGCCATTAAAATCAAAAAGGTTCTCAACAAAAACGAAAATGTTACGATTTAATCAAGTGGCACTCGCCGCCGATATGCATTCTATTTTCTTTTTGTGTTTTTTTGTTGTTATTCCCTGTGTTTTCTCATAAATTCTCATAAATGTGCTACTGTTGCTGCTGGATATGACAAAACGAGGAGGATATTTTGAAAGAGCAAATTTTGATTTTTATTCGAAAGTGGTCTAAGACTGTTGAAGCCTTACCACAATAATAAATGGGTGTTTTATATTTCAAAAAAACTTTCGCTGTAAATAAAAAAACAGCAAAACAATAACCCGTTGTAGAATCTATAATGTTTGAATTGGTGGTTGTTGAGAACCCTTGTGATTTGTATTCGCATTCAGTGTTATTGTGAATGAATGAGAGAGATTTTTTCGAGCAGCACTTTGAATAAAATAACAAAAACGACCCGTGTACTTTCATTGAAACGGCAAATATGATGATGATAAGTCTAAATCACGATGGCTGTGAACACTTAACTGAAACGCACAAAAATAAACAAACTAAACGCTTGATCAGATTTGCTTTAAATAAAATGCACGCGTTTTGTGTTTTTTTAAGTGGGTATGCGCTAATTTTTACGCTAATACCTCACACAGTTTCAAAATTAAATATTTTCGTTGTAATGAAAAACATACGCTTTCTCTCGTCACATTTATCTTTGTTTATCAATCACAATGCAACACCAAATTCTTTTCCACACTTCAAATTTGTCACACGCTTGAATAGTTCACCCCTTTTTTGACTATTATGGGATCAAAATCTTTGTCAAAATATAAAACTATTTTTTAAAACTTTGAAGTTTGAACTAATGCCAATTGTCAATAAATAAATTTGAGATTAAATCCCGTTAAATCTGAATGAATTGTTGAAACTAGTGTATTTACTCGAAAAATTTCTTTTTGAAGGTGATCGTCTATTAGATATTCCCTGCAAGGTTTGTGGTGACCGAAGCTCGGGAAAACATTATGGCATTTACTCGTGTGATGGATGTTCGGGTGAGATCAGGTTCAAATTCAATTCATATAATTGTGTTTGCTCAAAAATATTTTCATTTTCAGGATTTTTCAAGCGAAGCATTCATCGAAATCGCATTTATACGTGCAAAGCAACGGGTGATCTCAAAGGACGCTGTCCAGTTGATAAAACACATCGAAATCAATGTCGTGCATGCCGATTAGCCAAATGTTTTCAATCGGCTATGAATAAAGATGGTAAGTGATTTTGTTAATTTAAATAAAAACCATTATATTTAAGTTTAATAATTAATTAATACATTTGATATTGCTCAAAAAGGCATCTCTTCGGTAAATAAATATTGAATTTGTTCAACATCTGAGAATAAATTTAAATAATTTCAAAGAAGTCTCTGAATTAAATGTGAAAGTTGTTTAAAAAAACGAGCTAACCCTCAAATCATTAAGAGATCAAATAATACGATTGATATCGTTTATAACAAATTGTGGTATCTTTTAAATTTCTTTCAAGCGTTGAACGGTATGAGGCAACGGATCAATGTAAAAATCTCTTTAAGAACCGTTTAGTTGAAAATGTGTCAATGAATTGATTGCCTTATTCAAACGTACTCCCCCTCGTACCATTTCGGTTGATTTTTTTTCCGTCGTCTTTTCCAACTAAATTCGTTTGTATCGCTTTCATTTCTACACTTGAATCCGAACGCCTTTTCAGTTTCTTATCTTTGTTTTTTATGTTTGTGAATTCGAGCGCATGCAGGCGTCAATTGTGCTGTGCGCTAGCAAAAGATTTAAGAAGCTTTTCGTTGGCATTAATTTTGATGCCAAAATAGCATTCAGTGAAAGTTAAAATACATTTAAAAAAAAATATTAATACGAGGTATTTCGAGTTGAAAATTTACAGAAATTCTTCAAATCAAAACGTTCTTTTTTACTTCTTGAGAAAATTTTTGCCGTCATTTCGTTGAAAGAAAAAACCACACTACTCCGATTACGTTATCTCCCGAAGAACGAGAGAAAAACGGACAAACACTTAATCCGATATTGAAGAAAATGGTGTAAAATTCCACGCCAGCTAGACAATTGAAATTGTTTTGAATAAATAATGATTGTGGTGTGCCAGTTTTTCAAGTGGTTTTGTGTTTGGGTTCTGAGAATGTACAACTGTGAATTTTACGTTCACCTTTGGCTCAATCAGGAAGAGTTGCGGTTAAACTGGGCATTGAAGTTGTTCATTTACGAAAAGTTTCTAACAACATAACTGAATCGATAGTCAAGTGGAAAGTCTCTGTTGAAAACATGTTTGCAAAAATTGAATGTTAGAACAACATCTACGAAAGCTACTCAATTCTAATTTTTAGAATTCTCAATAATTAAAATTTAAAATTGAATTTTAAGACAATGGAAATAATTCAATGTTGCGAAATTTCATATTTTATTTAAATTGCTCATTTAAAAATGAGGGAGTGCGAATTTTGGGTACTTTTTGAGAGAAATGTATCATTTCAAAATGATTGAATCTACATCAAAATCCCACTCACCCAAAGGAATTTCCACAATGTTTTCCTTCAAACATCTCGGAGTGATCAACATATTTATTACAAAACCATTGAAAGGAAGAAGTTTATTTATCTTTGGCATAAAGTGTAAGAATAAAACAAACAATCTCTAAATGGCTCCCATCATTTTATTAAATGGAAATCACATCGAATGCTGCCAAATTACAGTGATTTTACAACGATTCGAAAATATTTTTAAATGTAATTGCATTGTTTTGCATAAATACGGGTTTACCAGCGATTTAACGATAGAAAAAAAACCGAAATATTACACATAGAATAGGCTGGGTAATGTTGAAATTAGCATAATCCATATCAACCATTGTTTTCTTCACAAAAATTCGTGCGAATGCTGTTTTATCATCCCTCATGCTCGATTTTTCGCGTCTACATTTTTGCTGTAATGACAAATTAACAAAGACGTTCTTAAAACAAATGGAACATTTTTTTTCTTTTGTCTGCGATCATTTTAGCTTTGGAATTTAAATCAAAAGAAAGTGTTGCTTATTTTTTAAATGAATCAAAAACAAATATCCTTTGATGTGTCTTGTGTTTAATGTATTTTTCTGAATAAAAGGTTCGTTTTTTTTTCGTGTCAATGCTAATCTAGCCGCATGAATTCGATGTTATTAAATGAAAATACATCAAATAATCGCTATTTGAAGAGAAAACAAGTGTAAATGCAACGTATTCATTGAATGAATTTATGCCCTGTGACCGCCACTATTGACTGAATGTATGTTTTACGCTTACATCAACACACCGGTTCGATTTCGCATCATGACAAAAATACGATCCATTCATTCACATCACTCAGTCACATAAAACGGCGAGGATTAATCTTCGATGGCACGGTTGATATGACATCGTAATGATTATAAAACGATGATATGTACATGTGGGATTGAGTATTTGCGATTGATGTGCTGCTTTTGCGACATTATGATGCTTTTGCTATGACTATACTATGCAGCGGTAGCAATCGTATGTGTGTGTGTGTGCATCTGTGTGACAATATACGGGATATATTTTAGTGGTAAAATGGTTAAAGCGAATGTGATGAAGGCGTGAGATTTTCTGCATATGTGCCACATACTTACTCATAAATGTTTAATATTAACGTTTTTGTGACACGACAATTCGTGGAATATATCATTTGCAATTTAGAACGAACAGAGATAGAACAATGGATCTCTCTCTTTCTCTCTTTCATTCTTCTCTCTTTCATCACTGTATATGTGTGTTTGACACAAGTGAACCATATCAAATTGGCATTAAAGCAACACTATAATCGTATGAGTTATTCATATAGAAGTGCCACCTATATGAGAGACACATTCAAACATGAAATGAAATTTTGTGCTCGGTAATGAATAGTCAAGTGGAATGAGGGATAGAGAGAGAGAGAGAGAGAATTTGGCGGATGGAAAATGGCAATAAGCTTAGAGCCTACAAGTTATAATATCACACGCATACCACCGCAACCATATATCTCTTAAACGATATGACAAACTCAACGAATATTCGCTTTTGTGTGGAATGCCAGTGAATTATGACATTTTCATATGGCTTAAATAGTCAGCAATAAAATTAATTCACATACATTTCTAGCAAAGTTTTAGGGGTTATACACATGATGCGATGCGAACGATGAGTTTTGTTTGTCTTAACAAAGTTTCTTCGCATTAGTTTCATTTCTATTTTTTATCTTTCTCTCAGTGCAACAAACTGGAAGTTAATAGAGAAGATATTTGCAGAGTAATACGGTACATCAGTGTCTTTGTTCACAGTTTACTTAAGTTTTAGTTTGATGTGTTTTACATGTATTTTCTTTATTCAATCCAAAGATCTTCTAAAGCATCTTATGCTCGCAAACATATGAGAAAGATTTAAATTCATCCATCCATTTATAATGAGTACAGTAATTGAATAAAACTATCTTGCGTAAAACTCTTTTACACTTGCATCACATTGATGTTGCTGAATATGTGAAAATCTAGTTAGAAACACGGTTTTTTATTTTTTTATTCAATGTTTCAATATCCTGATCCTGCCAAGGAAGAAACAATTCAATTTGTTTTTATTTTCTTTTAATTTCAATTAAATAAACCTATGACTATAAATTGTTGTTTACAATTGCTGACCCCTTTTTTTCCAATTTTGCTTACTGACTATTTGCTGGAACTAACTTTATGTGACGGCAACGGCAACAAAAACGAGGGTTGTAATCGAAAAGCTAAATCGAAAACAACGAACGCGCTGAAGCGTAACGAAAAAAACACACATACTCGAAATTGTATCATAACAAATTACCCTCGTCGATATGCATTCGGATCCGTTATTAATGAACAATATCCGCATCAACGTGCATGCCATGCATTCACTCACTTTGATGTACAACTATTCGTTTAACGTCAAAACACCACATCTCGTGGTTTAAATGCACATTTAATTCGAATTTGAAATGAATTTATCGGAGGGCTTAAAATTGTAATTAATTTTCTGTTCTAATGAGAATTTTTTGTTCGATTATTATGGAAACAGCGTGTATTTTTTTCAATTTTCTCAGCAAAAATAATTTTTTTTTATGTGTGTGAATATTTCATTTTTTTTTAAAGGATGATTCAAAAACAAAAGTCACTGGTGATGTAAATTCCACCAAATACCGACCGAATTCAATTCTAGAGTGCAAAAGAACTATTGGACATGAAAGTAACATCAATCTACCGCTAGTCTCTTCCGCTCGACTAAAAGTTTGTTCGAATTGTTGCGATCTGTGTTGTCCTCAAACCAAATGTGCCATAATCAAATCTTCTGACCAGAAAATCATTCCAAAATGAACCTAAAAATGTAAGTGTCAAAGAATTAAATATTGCCTATGGTGCACTTTACGTCAAGGGATTTTCAACATCGCATCATCATCATACTTTCATACGGCCGCCAGCAATTTTGTTCGTTCGCCTCTCATTTACTCATTCTGTGTGACATTCTCTCACCCTTCGGTGGGAAAAAAGGCATTACGTGGTTTGATGACACAAGGAACCTTACTTTTACCTCATTAATTGTGTAATGTGTGAAACTTTGCAGATTTATTCCATTTAGAATGTGTACAATGCATGAAAGAATTGTTCAAACTGATGGTTTTAAAAATGAATGTGAAACGAAAAAGAGACAGCACAAAAGATGGTATAGACGAATTACGAAATGCTTTTTTACTTATGGAATTAGGATTTGAAAGCCAATCTATTTTACTTAACCACGATTTCAGTCAAGCCGCCGGGGCGAACGGAACAGTGTCAATTCATTGCATTGGGTGCATTTACAAATGTGTAGCATCTGAATAATTGATAACAATGCCAAATTAAACATCAAGTGCTCTTCATAGTCTTCACTTTTATCGCTCACTTTGCGAATCAATTCTAAAGTCTTCGTTTTGAGTTTTTGAGGGCGACATTTGTACATGGTCTTTTATTTACCAACAAATAGTGAATCCATGACATCTTTCAACAACATAGATCCAAACATGACCAAAATCGAAAATCGTACTATACCATCAAAATCTATTTGAATTGAAAAACAACAAAAAAAAAAAGAAAAAGATACATCCATGCATGAATGTACATGGATCGAAAAATAACATCTGAAAATTTTTGATGCGTATTTGTGTGAAATTTCTGTTGACATTACATGGTCTCATGCCAATCTCCGGTGTGAATTCTGTGTAAGTTACAATGTTATCTCGCAATTGAGTTGGATTTTTTCTTCTCGCATAGTATTTTGGCCCCACCGTCATTTTATCGTTACGAAAAGTGAACAATGATTCCGTTCTAGTTTTCGAAATGTGTACGCATCGTAAATGGATCGACACATAGAGAAAAATAGAGAAAGAAGAATGAAAAGCGACGAGAGCAGAGTGAGTGAGACCAATAGAGAGCCACAGTTTAACGATAAGATTAACAGTTCCCCCATTGTTTAATCCTTCGATCCGATCTAGTGTCATGTCAGTCTGTCAGCATGAATTGCGTTAGTGAAATCCCATTAGAAAACAGCAAACACAAATACATATTCACACATTGAAAGTGCTGAAGTGAAGCAACACAAAAAAGTAAAACATGATACAATGCCATCGGGTGTGAAAAAGCCGAAGAGTTGAACAAACGTTTTAACATAGCCAATAACATGTCCAACACAGCAAAATACACACTCACTCGTACACAAACCAATGTGTGAGCTTCGATTTTATTCGTATGTGATAATATACATGAACTGCAACGATATATTGTTTGCATTGTGCTTGATTTATTCGGCGTTAAATCGGAATACACCATTCGCATTATCATCGATATATTTTTATTTACTGGACCGACCAATTTATCGGCCATTGTGTTAAAATTTGCCTTTGTAGTATATGAACGTCATGTGTCGATGTGTCGAATCGAAGAGAAAGATGCTGAAGCATAACAATACAACACAGCACCACAATGACTATTCAATGATTTTGATAGAATCGTCTTGGTCTAAATGATTTTCGCACTTTCGATCAAGTAATACCGATTGACTCATCATCAAATACAAATGTTACAATAAAGATAACACTCATCATAATTTCACATTTCGATGAATAATGGATTTTGTTCGAATTTCGATTTAAATTTGCTAAATTGGTTTTATTGATGTGAATATCACAGATTACAATGCAAAATATATTACATGCAAATTATTTGACATTTTCAATTTATACATAACAACCCGTTTATATTTCCGAATTTTAGCTGTACAGCACGAAAGAGGACCCAGGAAACCGAAGTTACATTCAGCACTGTTAGCAAATGGTTCGCATCATCCGAATCATTTGCAAATTCAAGGATTGGTGTCCAGTGCGTACGCACAAAATTCATCAATGGGTGGTGCTCATTCGTCGGGATTTCATCCAGTTATGCCACATATTCATCATCCGCAGCCATTACCATTTTCACCAATTTTACATCCAGCTCATCATCCACACACCCAAACACATCATGGACATCATCTATTGCCGGTCCCTTCGGCTAATGAATTTTATAAAAATTTTCATCCGGTAAGTTTGATACAGTTCAAATCAAATCTATTTGATGAATATTCGAAATCTTCTTTCGTAAGAAAAATAGAGATTTTTAACTCATTTGCATTCGGAAAGATTGAAATCAATCAAACACAGTTTTGACATTTAAATCAAGTTTCTTAATTTAAAATTCGTCTTCCTTCATAATTATAGTCCAATGTCATTGTGCCGAATGTTCTTTCGCATCCGATACCCGCATTACCACCGCGAAGACCAATTTCAGCATCGATGCTGCAAAGTGCTCACTCTACAATTTCGCATCAGTCCCATTTTTCGCCAAAAAGTAACACTTCCAGCACAATCGAACCATCTCAAGATAGTGTGAGTCCACCGCTGATTGTTGACAGTATCGAAAATGTTGCCAGCCCAATTTCAGTAAGTAGCAGTAACAACAATAACAACACCACTTCGAAAAACATTTCGAAAAATGACAACGATGCACGGTCAACGATGACAAATAACATAACCACAGAGAATATACAAACAAAAAGTAACGATGGGTTACTTCATCAAAATAGTTTGCGCAACGAACAACAAAATAGTCTTTTGAATATACTCCTGAATCCAGATAAATGTCAGGTAATAATAAAATGTTTGGTTTTTTTTTCTTCTTTTGAACCGATTCAAGAAAAACAGAATAAATGTATGAAATAATTTTCAAAAAGCGCAAAATATTGAAAATTTGGTATTTTTCTACAGGAATTCATACATTATCACAATTCGATGATTTTTCCGTCGGCACCGTTGTCTACATCGTCAATGGATGTGAGACTACCGACATGGGAAGTTTTACAAGAGACATCCGCAAGGCTTTTATTCATGGCTGTTCGATGGGTTCGATGTCTCGTACCCTTTCAAACACTTTCTAAAAACGACCAACAATTACTGCTACAGGTTAGTGAAATTTCAAGTATTTTCTTCAAATTCTTCCTTTCCTTTAAACAGTTGAGAACTTTCGATCATGTTCGGCAACTTTTCTTTTCACGCAGTTTGCGTTGCACTGTGCATAACTGTTTTTTTCCTTGTGATTAAAAAACTCAACAATTTATATAACGCACCCCTTCAAAAAGAATTACAAAAACTCAGAAAGTTATCAAGAATCAACTGCGTGAAATATAATTAGTTTTTAGCTTCAACTTTTTAATCGGATTATCAAACGAATCGTTCTATTTTGGCTGTATTATTTCCTTTATCGTTTTACTTCATTTGAATTCTCAACTCTCCAATGAAATCAAAACTCTTGATATTATCGAAATGTAACCGCATTATTTTTTGTGATAATAATCAACAATTGAAAAAAAAAAAATCAACAATAAAGTACTATTTTTGAATGGAAAATCTTTATTGACTTTCTAAAAAAAAGAAATTAATCCACTAAATCCATCCCTTTTTTTCTTCGACATTTAATAGGAATCGTGGAAGGCATTATTTCTACTGAATTTGGCACAATGGAGTGTTCCATTCGATTTGGGATCGTTGCTGGATAGTGTACAAGTGCGCGAACGTGTTCCAAATGATGCATTAACCGCAAGTGAAATGAAAACAATTCAAGAAATTTTGTGTCGTTTTCGTCAAATTTCACCGGACGGAACAGAAGTCGGCTGTATGAAAGCCATCGTTTTATTTTCGTCCGAAACTCTACAACTGCGTGACGTCCAACCGGTAGAGATGCTCCAAGACCAAGCGCAATGCATACTGAACGATCACGTGCGATTGCATTATCCGCGTCAACCGACACGTTTTGGACGTCTTTTACTTTTAGTACCTTCACTGCGTGCCATTCGGCCATTCATCATCGAATCCCTATTCTTCAAAGAAACGATTGGCAATGTTCCAATCTCACGCTTACTCGGCGATATGTATGAAATGGAAAAGTACAGCGAATTAACAACAAAATAAATTGCATCGCGATCTAAAAATGGTTCTTTTTATATAAGAAAAGAATAATTATTATATAGCATATAAAATGTCAGTACACTTTAAATTAAAGATCAATATTTTTCTTAGTTTACATTGATTTTTGTTGTTGTTTTTTTCTGCCAATGGCTTCGGGCAAATTTTTTGTATTTTCATCTGAGTTAAGGTGAACAACCTGTTTGTAATGTAATTTTAGCTATAAAAACAATTCCCCTCTCTATGCACACGTATGTATCCTTGCTCGATGAAAATGAAACCAACTTTGTTCATTTCATTTTATTTTTATTTAAAATTTGTTCCGAGTTCAAAAACATTATGTAAAAATACCTTTTGAGTTACAAACAATATTTTATTGACATCCAATGGGATGCCCGTTCAAAAATATATTCGATTTAAGTAAAACATATACAATTAAATTCAATTCATGTTCTAGAATAGTTGTTCTGTACTTAATCATCTTCCTATAGGATTCATTATAACGAAGAGGAACATATTTATTGACCAATTCTAGCGATTGTAAATCTACTATAATAATAAATTCAATTGATAATAATAAAAAAAATAATCGTCTAATTCTACAAATAATTGTGTTTCAATCAAATGATTGTTGTCCATGGCCAATTTTAGAAAAGTGGAACATCTTTTTGTTATTTCAATTAACACTTTGCAAATAAAATGATGTCAGTTAATGTTCTTTTCATTCACAATACGTAAACGTTATCTCGTCGAATATGTGCGCAACGTGTAACATATGCGTGTACAATATAACACGCAACATGTCACGTGACGGTTCAAGACGTTTTGAATCATTTGTGTGAACGAAGCGTAATATATATGTTATTGCATCTGTCAAAAAATACCACCCAAATGAAGTTTGTAAATTCTTCAGTCATATCTATGTCTTGTATTCGCCAACATTGTCGGTCGGTGCAGTGCATTTATTTTAGTATTATTATTCAATCGAATTGTGAAATTTTCAAGTGAATTAAAACAGTTCACTGTTTAATGAAAAGAGAAATGTAAAAAAACATCGTTTGGATGTTTTTCTTGTGATTTTGTACTGGAGTAGAGTAGAAGCATAAATTAAAATTACATCAAACATACATTGCTGATGTATTCAGTCTATGTGTCATATTTATATATATGGTAATTTACCTTAATTGTATCTATTGTGAGTTCCATTTGTAGATATGTTGTCATTCGTTAGCAAAAAAAAATTTGATATTTTTTCTACTGACACTACTAGTTAAAATTAAAGTGATTATTTTCTCCGATCGCATAGCCTACTACTGGCTTTGCATCGACTAAAAATAAACATACAACAACAATAACAAAACCAATTTAGTTGTCTCAACATTCTTGTTCTATTTCTTATTTCGGAATCGCATATCACAGTCAGTACCGGAGTTTGTGTTAGTGAGAATCGAAATTTATTTTCGGGTGTGAGACTGGCGTAATATTGCAGTTTTTTTTCGCTTGCTTTCAATATCATTTGAAAGTGTTCATTGCACAATGGCTAATACTGGAGTGCTGCCGTTCGTACGAGGCGTCGATTTCACCAATAATGATTTTAGTGTGAGTATCTCTATTTATCAATCACTAGATAGATATGTATTTATATCAAGGTCTGGCTATAACATTGAAAATGCGTGTTTTTGTTGCTTTTACTTTCTTCGTTTGTTTTGGTGCGTTGTTTTTGCCGATGCACTAATGCGCATCTGCAAGTAATGAATGTCATCGGTGGTGTGCACACCAGTGTTTACAAACTAAACTCAAGTTTATTTTCCCCATAAATATAGTAAATATGTTGGTTTTGTTTCTTTTTTTGTTTTTGTTTATCGTCCGATAGGATGGAAAATTTCCAAATGCCGTACGCTTGATGAGTGGTGTGCAATGGCTAAAATTAGATAAAACTCAAATGAAGGAGATTCCCGAGGAAATGGGCAAACTGATCAAACTCGAAAATTTGTCATTGAAAAACAATCAACTTGAAAAATTATTCGGTGAATTGACGGAACTACAATCATTACGGTCGCTTAATCTACGACACAATGATATAAAATGCTCTGGCATACCACCGGAACTATTCGAATTGGAAGAGATAACGACTATTGATTTGTCATTTAATAAATTGAAATCAGTTCCAGATGGATTGGCGAAAGCAAAAAGTATATTGGTGCTTAATTTAAGCCATAATCAGTGAGTAAAATACGGTTGTTTTCTTTTTACAAAAATTTAGAAATCAAACAATTGCAGTTAAAAGCGAATGCACTAGTTTTAAAGTTGAATTAATTTCATCGAAAATCCTAAACTTTCCATTTTTTTTATATTTCATTACAGAATTGAGAGTATTCCAAACTCGTTATTCATACATTTGACTGACTTGTTGTTTTTGGATCTATCGCACAACAAATTGGAAACGTTGCCGCCACAAACAAGACGTTTAACAAATTTACAAACGCTTATTCTTAGTGACAATCCATTGGAATTGTTTCAACTGAGGTATGTTTCATTTACTTTAAAAAAGTGCAATTCATTACTAAAAAATTGATTTCAGACAATTGCCATCACTTCAAAACCTCGAAGTTCTTCACATGAGCAACACACAACGCACGATACAAAATTTTCCCACATCTTTGGATTGCCTCTCGAATTTGGCCGAATTGGATATGTCAAGGAATTCATTGCAAAAGGTGCCACTATGTCTCTACAACATGCCAAATCTTCGTCGAATCAATTTAAGTGAAAATGAAATCGCCGAATTGTCACCTGAGGTAGAATTTTGGAAGAAATTGGAAGTGTTAAATTTGTCGCGCAATAAATTAACTGCTCTACCTCAGACGATTTGCAAGCTAAGCCAATTACGTCGATTGTATTTGAACGACAATCAATTGGATTTTGATGGAGTGCCTGGTGGCATTGGTAAACTCGGAAATTTGGAAATATTCTGGGCATCGAACAATAATTTAGAAATGGTACCAGAAGGCTTATGTCGTTGTCCGGTATTGAAAAAATTGAATTTGAGTTCGAATCGTCTGATTACGCTACCCGATGCCATTCATTTGTTAACCGATTTGGAACAATTGGATTTGCGAAATAATCCGAATTTAATAATGCCACCGAAGCCGGTCGAATTGCAAAAAGGTGCTGGTGTTGAATTTTATAATATTGATTTTTCGCTTCAACATCAACTTCGGGTGGCCGGCGCAGCAGTTCCTGCTGCAATTGCATCGACGGCAAATACGCCAAAAGATTCGACCGCACGTAAAATTCGATTGCGCCGTGGCCTTCGAAACGGAAACGATTCCACCGATAAAGATTCAGCGAAAATTCTCAAAGGCATGAAAGATATTGCAAAAGACAAAGACATGCAATCATTTGATGATGACCCCGTCATTGAGAGCCTGAAACCGAAGCGATGGGATGAATCATTGGAAAAGCCGCCGCTTGATTATTCGGAAATTTTTGAAGAAGACGACGGTCAGATACCGGGTTTAACAATTTGGGAGTAAGTACCACTGTTCCATTACATTCCATTACATGTTGATTAATTTCCATTAATTCCATTTTTTTCTTCTGATTATCTCTAGGATTGAGAACTTCTTGCCTAATAAAATCGATCAAGTGATTCATGGTAAATTCTATCAAGGTGATTGCTATATCATTCTTAAGACCCTGGTCGACGAAAATGGACAATTGAATTGGCAAATTTACTTTTGGATCGGTGCTGAGGCTACATTGGACAAACGTGCCTGTTCAGCAATTCATGCGGTAAATTTACGAAACTATTTGGGCGCACGATGTCGAACGATTCGTGAAGAGCAAAACGATGAATCCGAAGAATTTCTTGCTTTATTCGACACACCGATTACCTATATTGAAGGTGGCCGAACATCTACCGGTTTTTATACAGTGGAAGATGTGATGCACAATACCAAAATGTATCGAGTTCATGGCAATGGTGCTTCAATACATTTGGAACAAGTTCAATTTGATGTGGAGTCATTAGATCCGCGATACACGTTCATCATTGATACAGGAGAGAAAATTTTGATGTGGTATGGCAAAAAATCAAAGAACACCCTCAAATCAAAATCACGATTGTTTGCGGAAAAAATAAATAAAAATGAGCGTAAGAGTAAAATGGATATTGTAATAGAATATCAAGGTGAAGAAAGCGATGATTTTGTAAAATTGTTCGAAATTGAAAGTGTTGCCGATATAAAACCAGTTGAATATGTCGATGATGAATTTAAACCACTTAAACCGACACTCTATCAAGTGCAACTTGGCATGGGCTATTTAGAATTGCCACAAGTCGAAGTGCCACAACAGAAACTCGTTCACACCCTGCTAATCAGTAAGAATGTCTACATTTTGGATTGTGGAGTGAATTTATTTGTGTGGTTTGGCAAAAAATCGACTCGGTTAGTTCGGGCTGCTGCAATCAAATTATCACAAGAGCTATTTAATATGATAAAAAGACCCGAATATGCAACAATAACGCGAGTTCAAGAAGGCAACGAAACACAACTATTTAAATCGAACTTTGCTGGATGGGAAGAAATAATTGCGGTTGATTTTACACGTACCGCTCAATCGGTGGCAAAAACCGGAGCTGATTTGACAAAATGGGCTAAACAACAAGAAACTCGAGCTGATTTGGCAGCTCTATTTATGCCACGTCAGCCGGCAATGTCACACTCTGAGGCAATGCAACTTGAAGAAGACTGGAACTATGATCTAGAAGCAATGGAATGTCTTGTTTTAGAAGATAAAAAATTTGTACGTTTACCAGAAGAAGAAGTTGGTATCTTTTATTCGGGCGATTGTTATGTGTTCTTCTGCAAATATCTGATTGCACCAGAAGAAGATGAAAATGCTGAACATTCTGAAGCACCACTGCCAGACGATGAAATTCAATGTGTAGTCTATTTTTGGCAAGGTCGTGATGCTGGCAACATGGGATGGCTCACTTTTACATTTACATTGCAAAAGAAATTCAAAGCCATGTTTTCGGATGACCTTGAAGTCGTTCGCATACATCAACAACAAGAGAATTTGAAATTTATGGCACATTTTAAGCGGAAATTCACGATTAAAACAGGCAAACGAAAAGAGGTTGTTGATCCAAATAATAAGAAGGACAAAGTCGAATTTTACCATTTACGTTCAAATGGTAGTGCTCTCTGTACACGATTAATTCAAATTCAACCAGATGCATCACAATTGAATTCAGCTTTTTGGTGAGTCAAATGATTGAAATATCAGAAGAATTGTTTTTTTTTTAATTCAAAAACAACTGTCGTCTCATTCCAGTTACATTTTGTTCGTGCCATTTGAAGGATCAGAAAATGAAAATTCGGGCATTGTCTATGTTTGGATAGGTAACAAATCGACAGCAGAAGAATCAAAATTGATTCAAGAAATAGCTGAAGACATGTTTAATAGTCCATGGGTTAGTTTGCAGGTGAGCCAACTCAATGCATAGAATAAGATCAAATAATTTTCATTCCAACTGATTAAAATTCATTTGATTTAAATAGATTTTAAATGAAGGCGAAGAACCAGAGAACTTCTTCTGGGTTGGATTGGGTGGACGAAAACCATACGAAGAAGAAGCGGAATTTATGCAATATAGCCGACTGTTTCGGTGTTCAAACGAAAAAGGTTATTTCACCGTTGCTGAAAAATGTTCGGACTTTTGTCAAGATGATTTGGCCGATGATGACATTATGCTATTGGATAATGGAGAACAAGTGTTTTTGTGGTTAGGTTCAAGATGCAGTGAAGTGGAGATTAAATTGGCCTACAAATCGGCACATGTAATATTCAAACACGCATTTCCTTTACTTTTCAATATAGAAAAATATTCAATGCCAACATTCATTTGCAGGTATACATTCAACACATGCGAATCAAACAACCGGAACGACCGCGCAAACTATTCCTTACGCTCAAAAATAAAGAATCAAAACGGTTCACAAAATGTTTCCACGGATGGACCGCACACAAGAAACAACCAGATTAATTTCTATGTTCGTTTATACATCGACAATTTTCAAAGCGCCCCACACAAACACACATCTATATACGTTTTTTTTTCTCTTTTTTAAACTTTTATTTAAGAATTCATTCATTGGCCCAAAAGCCGGCTGCAATTCAATTTTTGATATGTATTTATTTATGTAGATATAGAATTTTATTCACATTGTGTCAGCACATCGTCAATTTCCTCTTTGTCATCGAAGCAATTTTAATCGAATCGAATAAAAGTTTTTGCATGCATACATGGATTATCATTATGGTTTTTCATTTTCTCTCTCATCATATTTTACACACAATAAATGGGCACCTGACAAAGGTCGGTCTCACAACCAAATTTTGTAAGGGAATTTAGACAACTTTATATATAATGACTTTATCCGTTCTCACACTAGATCATTGTCGTTTGAAACAATAGCAATATTTTCTCATTAAAAGCAGATGCGCATTTTATGTGCGTGTCACTCAACTCATCACGATATTTACAGTACATCCAGCATTGACATAATATAGGGGAGAATGCATTATTGCATAGTAACGATATGACATTATTTTATAGTGCATAAATTACATTGAAATTGACACTGCATACCGTTTCGCATCAATTGTTTTTCAACAACCCTATTTGATAATTATGAAACTTAGGGCCACGCAACGAATATTCATAATGACCATTTCAATTCACCAAAAAATCACAAAATTCATATACCGAACATTCATCTCTAACTTATTTGTCGATAAAGTATTTAAAAGAAATGTATATAAAAATTTAACTGGAACTTGCAATGGAGCTATTATTTTATTATTTTACTCGATTAAAGCCAATATGGTAGTGAACTCAAGTGCCGAGTGTACACGAACCGAAAGTTCCGTTCTTGAAAGTTCCGTTTTATTTTGTAATATTTAGGAAAACCGATCGATATTGAATCCTCCATATAGTAGACAACTCTTGGCACCAAGAAATTTTACTGTACGATATAATTGCACATTCCTTACATTACAAATTGAATATTTTAAATAATAATATAAGTATTAATTTGGTGGTTACGCTTCATTTTCATGAAGTAAGAAATATCTATTTATGTAATTTTCCAACTCATTCTACTTGCTAAATTTTACAATGCTTACGAGAAAATGAAATAAATATGATTATAAGAGGCGATGCAAGTCAAATAAACTGTTCAGTCAGTTTCTAAACTTTACGTTCGGCTTCGGTTCAAACCAACTTATTTATTTTTTTAGATTCGGTTAAAACCCCTCAATAAAATGAATATCATTGGAATCGGAATCGTATTTTCTTCAATTGTTTTTATTGTGTTCTCTGCACCGTTGCAATCTATTTCAGATTTTCCTGGAATTGAGTATCAATGTAAAAATATTTTCTTCAAATTATCAATTATAGTTGATTAGTATAATAGTTTGATTTTTTTTCATGTTGGGCACAAGTTTAAAATCATTCAATAATAATAATATCGTTTTTTTTCACAGTGCCGATGTTTGGTTCCCCATTTGAAGATATGTCAAAGTTTGCCATGATTCAAGGTATCGTAATAGATTATTTCTCCTATAAAAATAATTTAAAAATTCATAATATCGTTTCAATTATCTATGGTAGGTCCCGTTTTGGCTGCTCGACAACCGCTTGTAACGCAATATTTTTACCGACGTAAGATTCTCTTAACTCTCATTTAATATGTCATTGAATTCAGATTTTTGATTTAAATAATAGCTGCTCTGTTTGAATCACCATGGCAATCATTCCCCGATGAACCCAGAGAAATGATTTATTTACCAGCATCTGCAGTTCATTCGAATCAACCACCATTTTCACAATCATCAATGCCAAATTATGTATATGGCACACGAAACTACGTTTATCCACGCAAATCGTATGTGGAATCAAATCATGGTTACGATCAAAGAAACTACGGCTACGCAAATCGTCATCAGTATCAACAGTTTTAGTCTGGTTTCGATGTCTTATGTATTATATAGTATTCTTTATACTACAAATTTTAATCGAATTGAATAAAAATAAAATGTCTTACATCCGTAAGATGAACTTTTCCGCACTGTGATCCACAACATGCATTTATTAAGTATCTTTTGCCGTAAATATGAATTCATGAGAAAACTGAATCTGATATAAGTTTTGCGATACAAATAATTTTTGTTGGACTTTTCAATGCCTGTATGATATCGTAATCATGTGAAAATGTGCAGATGTTATTTTTTTCACAAAAAGCTAACATTCTGAAAGTTTTAAGAAATTTCAATACAATTGAGTGTACCTGCCATACAAAATTTTCGTTTTTGAGCAAAAAATCCAAAATTTTGTTCGGTAGGTACACCTATTATGCATTGAAATCTCTTCAAACTCACGGAATGTTATTTTAGAGTGAAAAAAATAGCCTGTGCAAAGTTTCAGCTCATTACGATATCATACAGGCATGGCTTCCATACAAAAATCCAATGTTTTTCAAATTTTTGTATGAAAAGTGTGTCGAAATATATTTGTATCTCAAAACCAACGTCATATTCGGTTTTCTCGTACCCAAAAATCTCCAATATATATTTTTGAGTGTTTAGGAATACATTAAATATCACTTTTGGAAGAAAAATTGAATTTTTCCCATGGATGCCCATGGGCATCACACCAGACATGACACTTTACTCTATCAACCAAATTCGCGTACAGCGTACAGTGTACAGCGTACAGGGTACAGGGTACGCACATACATTCGGACATTGAAAAAACGCTAGATTCGTGTTCCCTGACTCCAAAAACATCCAGAAAACAAATTTTTGATGAGTGTTTAATTTTCCGACCGATTCCAATACTTTACCTTACACACTAGGTGTGTGCGGAAAAGTAAAAGCTTGCTCACAAAGTGGACTTTCAATGAAATTTTACCTGTACCCCATTCAATTACTTTGCTTAAAATTAATAAGTACGAGATGTTTTGTATAGTTGATATCAATCGTCCAAATTTTATCTAGTGTAAAATATTTTTTCTCAAGTTTATAAATATATATAAAAAACAGATCCACCATCTGTATCTGTATTGACGCACATCTCTTAAACTACAGATGAGAATATCACGCCATACAGTAGCATTTGGCTTTTGATAATATTAGAATAGAATACTTGAACTTTGTTTAACAACTTTTTAAAATGCGTATGCCAAACATTTTCAAAAATGATTAAATTCTATTTTATTTTATTTTCATTTGGAAATGTATGGTATACGATTACAATCAACAGGCTCAAAGCCCTCTTACAGATCATAATCGCGAGATAATAATTTTGGGTTTTTAATATAAATAAATGTTAGTTTTATAATAATAATGGTGAAAGAATGGTAGAACAATATGAGAGTAAACTGTTTTAAGTTGATAATGATAAAAGAAGAAGAAATGATAATAAATGATATTGATTTTCGAAAAATAGCTCAAGATCAAAATGATAGATAACATTGTGATGGAGACAGACAGACTATTCCATGGTCCCAATTTAAATGATTTGCAAAATGTTCGCATTTTTTTACATGGGAATTATTATAATTTACTAAAGTTTTGCACAATTAATGTGCAATGTCATTAACAAATGTATGCCTCTTTCGCATTCGAGTGATTCAATGCGACCAATTAATTACAATACTGAAATGAGAAATGATAACTAAAAAATGTTTCCAAGTATTTTTCTACACAAACGGTAAATTAAATAATTTCACTGAAAGCGAATGATATAAAAATCAGTTTAAATGCACAATCAGGTATCAGTATTCAATCGTTAATTCAATACCAAACACACTGCATACTTTTTTATTGATTTTGTACGGACATATAAATCCAACGATGAATTATTTGAGCGGACAAATTAATTTATTTGGAATTGTGTTCAATATATTATTACTAACCTTCAATGCAATTGCATGGCAGGTACCTGAAGTTAATTATCAAGGTAAGAGCAATTTGTTTGATACATTACTTAAATTTTAATAGCGATGTAGCGAAATTAAATCTTATTGGCAGCATCATTTTTAGCAAATACAGGGTTTGAGACTCCTTCATATCCCACAGTAAATTATCAAGGTAGAAACATATTCTTTATTCATAAAAATTCTCTAATTGGTTGAAGTCCCCAAAGAAATGAATTTTTTTTACATTAGTGCCAGTTTTACCAGTACCGCCAGTGTCTACTTATCCAGCGATAAACTATCAACGTAAGAAATTTGTTTACGAAAATGTTTTTAGTTTTTTTACAACGTTAAATTTTCTTATTACAAATAAGCACCTGTGTACACATCATCATGGCAAGAAAGTCAAAAGTCTGGTTCAACAGGTTATCAAGGTATCAAAAATTCCTTATATTATTAATGCGTTGTAATATTGATAGTGGCAAAAGAAGCGATAAGATTACTGCCTAAAATGATAAAAAAATAAAATTCACATATAGTTGGCGCTGCATTCTATGCAAATTTGTTTTCCATTGCAACGGACTAAGTGGAAAGTATACGCTTATTACATAGAATGAAGCGCCAACTATACGTGAATTTTATTTTTTATCGTTTTAGGCAATAGATCTATGGTTTTCTTATGGCTTCTTTGAAATATACTTCAATGGAGTGTACACTTACTTTTAGGACCAATGTTAACACCAGCATATGGTGGAAGAAATAATGCTTATCCGATCGCTTCTAATGTTGGATCCAATAATTCGCCTTCGGTGCAAAGGCCAAATTATGGTTATGCTTATACACCACAACAAGCATATGCACCAAACTATGATTATGGGCCCAGAAACTACAATTATCCGAATCCAACCTACGCTGCATCCAATCATGGTTCAAGAAGTTATGATTATCCAAGATCGCATTCGAGTCCAGTGCAAAATATACATACACCCAACTATGATCAAACCTATCCCGCTTCGCTACATTTTGGATCAAATCCAATGGCAAATCAAGGGCCAGTATCAAATCATGCATTCGGTCCAAATGAATCTCATGTGGAATCAAATCAAGTTTTTGATCAAAGAAATTATGGATTTTCTAGTGCAAGTCGGCATGAAACAAACACCCAACCACTTATAGGAGATGTATATTAAAAAAATTCAATAAAGAACACTCCAAAAATTATTTTAGTGCTAATTCCTCATCAAAATAAATGTTTTCGATTCACTGGAACATTTATTGAATATGTTTATAAAACAAAAGATAATTTGTCCACGCATGGGTTTGTTTTTACTAATTATAATTATTTTCCTCTACACATGATATTGTTTCTGCTGTTACAAAATACAAATACGTTTAGGCATTATTTAAGTACGTAATTCTAACCATTCCATTTATTTGTATAGCTCCCTACAACTCTTTTGTATGCTTACACGTTACGCTAACACGTCAAAGCTAGCCTGTTGAACACGTTTTATTAATACACTTTTGTGAAATGTTTAAGAAATTGCGATCAAACATTCCTGACAACATTTAAGGGTATAAATGTCATGTCACGTAATCCAAATAAGTCAGTATATTGGGTAAGTTTTTTCAAGTACTCTATTATTATTATATTCTACTTATTCTGTTGAAAATGCTTACCACAAAACAAACGTTTAATTTTTCGGTGCCGTTTCATTAATAAAGTTTCACGAATTAGTTTTCATATCGTTGTATACGTTTAAGGTTTTGTAAACTATTTAATTTAAAAACAATAGATGAGCGCATAACTTATTAACCTATTAATTATAACTTAGAAGTTACTAACTTCTGACCCAGGGCAAATTCGTACCACCTCCGTAGTCAATTTTGATGAGAGTGGGATGAAAAACTTCTTTCTACAGTTTTTGTCAAGAAAATGTCTTGTGATTTGCTAGGAGGCTTACACGAAAAAGACGAAATTACCTCTTTATATTTTTGGAATTAGTTGGAATTACCCTTCTATCGCCACCGTCAGAAGTTATGGATATGCGATACGATAATAAGAAAAATATGTACAAGATTTATAATCGAAAAGTCGGGAAAAAATTGTTGTATTAACCATAAGAAACGTCGTATTTTTCGACATATTTTTTTTCTTTTTGATTATATCCATTTTAAATTCGAAGAAACAAACACAGATTTCAAGATTCTTTTTGCGTTTATTTTCCACTATCGGACATTATAGAGAGATAACTTAAGGGACTGAAAACAATAGAAGTTGTTATAGTGATTGTGGTAATGTAAGTGTTTTTATAACCATCACTTCTGTTCAATCTATTTCAGTCCGATATTGGCTCCCTGTGAATATCTCAATATAGTGTCTGTTCATTATGATAAAATAAAAATATTAAAATTAATAAAATGAGAATTTCGTTAAGAAATAAAAACAGGTTCGCAAAAAATGAAAAACAAAATTGTCTAATATAAAACTGTAGTTATAAGTAGCAGGAATAAATTAAAAGAAAATGTGGTATATACGTCAAAAAAGTGAAAAATAATTTTAAATTTGAACAGCTGAAAATTTCCGTTTATAAATTATGAAAGAAGATACATGACTTCAGCAGACTTCTGTTTTTACGAGAAATAAATTTCAAATGTAGATCGGGATTGTTATAGGTAATTCAGTTAGATACTCGCTTTATCCAAATTGACGAACTGTTTGAGATTCTCTTTTGTCAGGGTTTTTGCAAGAAATATAGTAAATTGAGGTCAGGTAGAAGCTTTTTTTTACTCTTTAATTTTAAGAATTTCATGTCAATTCAGTTTTTTATATCTTGAGAATTTATTTATTTATTCATCCTTTTAACTCCGAAACTAATACAAACTTTCGGTACATATGTATTATATATTTTATTCTGAGAGTATTGTTAAACTGAATTTTATTTCGACTTTGTTTTACAGTTATTGACAACTTTATTTACGCGAATTAAACCTATACGACAAAAAACTTGTCAAAATGTTGATTGAGCGAAGAATTAAATGAATTTTAGTGGCGTGCATATTTAAATTTTTTATTGCTCAAGTAACTTCGTTGAAGCCTAAATTGAAAATAGCTGTAATTGGAGCCGGTGCATCAGGTCTAGCAGCTGCAAAAAATGCCATCGAACAAGGACACATAGTAGATGTCTTCGAAATGACTGATAGCGTTGGAGGAATTTGGGTATATTCACCCAAAAGTGGAAAAGATGAATTTGGTGTGAACTATTCTCCGATGTATCGTGTCCTAAAGTATGTATAATTTTTAAATTTTAAGTAAGTAGATTGCACAGTAAGCTATTTTTTTATAATTTGGATTTTACCTTGACGCAGAGCTAATACACCCATTTCCATTATGGGATTTCGAAATTTCGACTATCCTCCAAACACTCTAACATATCCATCCCATAGAGAAGTTTCAGCTTTTTTGAAATCTTACTCTGACCATTTTAACATAACTGAACGCGTTAAGTTTCGTCATTTGGTTTCCTTTGTTGCTCCGATTAAGAATAAGTGGGAAGTTATGGCTAGGAACTTACTTAATAAGCAACAAATCAGAAAGAAAACAATATGATGCTGTTATGGTTTGTACTGGTGTCTTTGATAACCCACAATTCCCAAAGATCAAGGACTTTGATAAATATGTTGGGAAAAAAATGCACAGTCGTGACTATCGTGAAGCAAATAAATTTACTGGTATGTTAATAAAAATATAGTGTATTTTAGTCTACCTTTGTTCATGTCAATCCGATAGCGATACAACTCAAAATTGCCAACTAAAAATGTCGGAGAAAATTATTTAAAAAAATAAACAAAAATTTAATACTTTCGACAAAGAAAAATACAAAACTATTTGATTTATTCTTAAAAAAATGTAGAAAAATCCTGATAGGCTTAATGCATATAGTATTTTTAAATATATATTTATTATTTCAGGAAAGAACGTTCTAGTTATTGGGGCAGGAAGGAGTGCAAGTGACCTTGTACTTCAGATCTCCGCCGTTGCCAATGTTACATCCAGCCAATTTCCACGTCCTGGTGAAACGGCAGAAAAGCGTGCAATACGTTTGAGTGAGTTTGGAAATGCTGCCATATTCAAGGATGGTTTGGAACGTTTCACAAAAGATGAAGTTATATTTAAAGATGGAACAAAAGCACATTTTGATATGGTTATTTTCGCAACAGGTTAATTGAATTCAATTTTAATATTTAAAATACAAATGTAATAATTGCAAAAATTTGCCATTTTTAATTTTCCAGGCTATCGATTTGCTTATCCATTTTTGAATTCTGGAGCTGGCATGGCGATTGAGGATCATTATGTTAAACCTCTCTATAAACAAATTTTAAACATTAATCATCCAACAATGGCTTTCATCGGGGTACCATTTGAACCGCTATTTAAAAAAAAAATGTCTCTAAATTTTTTCTTGTATTTGCTAGGTGCCAATTTTTGCAGCAAATAACCATATGTTTGATTTAGAGGTAAGTAAAACCGTTCCGCTCAAAACTCGTCGACAACATGATTTAAATATAGAAAAAAAAACATGGAAAAAATGAGCAATTGTATTCTTTGTTTTACTTTATAATAGGCACGTTTTGCATTGGAATTTATCACTGGACGAAAGAGACTGCCACCGAAAAAGGAAATGCTTGCGAGTATGCAAAACGATTTTAATTCAGCACCGGTCAAAAGCAAGCCGCATTTCTTGGCATTGGACCAGAAGAGGTACAACAATGATCTTGCCGAAACTGCCGGCATTGAGAATATGAAAGAGGTTTACTCTGATATTTTGGCAGATCAAGTAAGAACTTTTAAAATGGATCCTATTGGTTTCCGTAATTATGACTATATCATTCATGATGATGGTAAAACATTTGATAAAGTTGATATAAGACAAAACTGAGCTAATGTAAAAAAAAATTTATGATTAAAGATTTAAATAATAAAATATGAAGTTAAAGAAATCATTCCATTATTTAATCACTTTGATAGTTTTTCTTGCGGGTTTTTTCGCAAAAATAGTAAAATAACATCGGTGTTATATTTAATATATCAAAGACCTCACGAGACGTGAGTCACGAGTGCAAATGCATAGAACAACTTCTTCTATAATTTTTTAATAGGAAAACGATACTTCCGAAACTGCCAAATACAAAAACTAATCATATTCCAATGAAACTGTAACATTTAAAAAGTACGTGATCAACCATATGATAAACTAACAAAAACAGCTACAAAATACAAAATGGCATCAAAAAATTTCGCCATAGTTGGCTATCCTGTTGACAATTACCCTAAATAAACTCTCCACTTTGAATGAAAACCTTACATGCGTACGGTTTTTTGGTGGAAAAAAACTAAAAATGAAATGTATTAGAAAAGTGGTCAGAAGAATGAACAAGACACTTCTTAAATAAAGAAACGGAAACAAAAGAATGCACACATGAAAAATAATTCAAATTTAATTGTGTTCGATTTTCAATCAAACTAACTTGGAGACATTTTTAAATAAACATACACACAAGCCGATAAACAAAAACCGATGTGTACGATTCTATGTGGATTGTACAACAACAGGAGTGCAAGAGAGACCAACATAGAAGGTTTACAATAAAATGCACAGATTTGTATATATATAATACAATTTTGTGCGATTGAATTTGTCTCTGTATTTGTTTTATGTAGTCACAATCTTAGAGTCCACATCATAGTGGTTGTCAGACATTTTATATGTAAGGATTAATATTTCAGCAAGTTTGAATATTTGTTCTCTCTTTGTGACCTCCATATAACCTTTCGTGCTCGATGTGAACAAATTTGAGTTTTCAACGGTATTACTTGTGTGCTCATATAAACCTTCGGAAATTGATCTTTTTGAAGATCATTCGTTTTATTTTTTTGTATTGTGAAATTCGTATCACATCACGATGACAGATCAACTTATTAAGCATTTATCTACGCGCAAAGAAATCGCTCCGGTGTACATGGAGTACAAACAAGGTATCGGCGAGCATGGGCTCAAATTTATGTCAATTCTTGACTTTTTAACAGAAAAGAAAGGATTGTACAAAGAAATGAGCAAATATCCCAAGCTAAAGATGCAGTTGATGAAGCTCCATTCATACGAGACATTCCAGTACTATAACATCAATCTAACTAAAGAAACCAAAGCTATAATTGGTGACAAAGTGTTGAAGTGCAAGTGGTGCGATTTGGTGGGACCGTATAAACTCATTTTTGAGCATATGGTCGTTTCGCACAATTCACACATTAGTGTGAAAGACTGCGCGTACTGCCAAAAGGACCGCACAGTTCATAAAGATCGATCGATGCCGTGCTATGAGCAATATTTACAACGAAATGAAATTGATTTGTCGGAATTGAAGGATATTATTGACATCATTGAAGAATTTTTTATGATTTTAGAACAATTCGCTGAACACTTCAAAGTCCGTATAAATCGACAAGAAACATATGCAGGAGAAAAGCGAATGAAAAAAAATGCCATTGCCTTTGAATTTGGTTTAATGGCTGATGCTTATAAGCCAAAAACGAGCAAAAAAACATTTTGTGATGATGAACTCGACAAATTATTTTCGATCGCAATGACTCAGTTTTATGGCGGAAATGGTTTACCACGCAATCAAATATGCGAGAAACTAGAGATCATCGAAGAATATGATCGGAATTATCCTATTGAAAAGGTAAGCATTACATGAAACTAAAAAAAAAACATCTCAAAATAGTTAAATAATCCAACCAACCAAATAATGAATGATATGTTGATTAAACAGGCCGTCGAAGAGAATTATGGAATCACTCTCAAACGACGACGAGCACTTCCATCAATGGTGAGTGATGTTGATAGCGAGGAAAACGAATATCACGAACGTAGAAGTTTGGTTGCTGCAACAAGTGGACACAACAACGATGACATCCATAACGAGCAGAACGAAAATGACAATGAAGTCCACTCAAATTCTAGCAATGCGTCAGAACAGGTTAGTATTACACTTTAGCTGAAATGTTTGCGGAACCAATCTACTGCATATTCTCCTCAAATTGCTCCTATAAAACAAAATAAATAATTGTTTCTTTCGTTCTATTCATAGGAATCTGATGACAATAGTCAAACCGCAAAGGAAATGCGCAAACGTACAGTCGATCATTCAGATGCGCTTGGCACATATGTTACAAGTTTCCATCGGCAACTTTCGGAAAATAAACGTCAAAAGTTAGAATCGGAAATCCAAAAGACTATGGCAAAAATGTCCGAAGAATCCAACGAGTAACTATCCAGCTGGCAGCTGATCAAAAAACCAATATGATTTGGTTATTCACTTCATTTGCAAATACTCATGCAACATACCATTTATGAAAGATAAACATAAGAAAAGAAAAACGAAGAAAACAATAATCAAACAAAATTGTCATTTGAATAAATTATCAACGTATATTACCACATTTCGCTTGTTTGTATATTGTTCATTTTCATTACTTGTTTATTGTTCATTTCATACAAAGCAAAACTATCAGCACCATGTGTATCTGTATTGTCTCGACTGACAAGTAACTGTCTTATGTGTATAGAATTATGAATCCAACGCATGTGGCGTCATATGAACTAGAGTCCCGTTGTTTACAAACCATAGAATGATGTCATACAAGAAGCTGAGCCAATTGAATTTTTCTTGGATGGCAGAATTTCCTTTTATTTTCAATCAAATATAAGCATAAGAGTGGAATCATAGACAAAAAAACAAACAAAAATCCTCAATGTCGAGAAAGATAGTTTTGCAAAATGAGAACGGACAAACAATGCTTTCTGGGTCACACTTGAAGAAATCTTTTGTAAGCACATAACTATCAAACATTAAATGAGTTGTTTAAAGTTTCAATAATCAAACTATATACATTTGAGCAAACATTTATTGAGCAATGATAATGAATGTTTCCATTGATATATATATTTTTGAAATAAAAGTACA